ATCACCCCTAATCTAATCTAATATATCTAATATGAGATTAAATTCAATGAGGTTTACCCGGCCAATGGACAATGAACACATCAACGTCTTCAAGGTAAAATTTTAAAGCTAAAATATAGCAAATAAATATCTCTTTTCTAGACTTTCTTCTGATCGGTTACCTTCCTGCTAAGCTAACAAAGCCTGACAAAGTCACAAAGAATTGAGATTTCTATTTAACCCCGTTAATTGATTGGCGAAACCCTTAAATTAATTATCTGGAATGATGATAAGATTTAAAGTAAGTTTAGAACAAATTCAAATTTGTATAGACTATAGAAATCGATCAAAGTCAGTGTGACACTAATCGTTAACAAATAATGAAGCCAAATCAAATAATCAATAAATTTTCTTCTGGTGAACCCTCTCCTCTATGTTTCTCTGTCTATCGGACATATCTCTTTTTCTTTTATTTTTAATGATTTGGTTGGAAACACAAAGATGAGAGAGAGAGAGAGAGAGAGAGAGTTGTGTGGTATTTTTAGGGGATTGCTTCAACAGTAGGAGGTGGGGCTTTCAGGTTTTTTTGGGTTGACCAAAAGAGGTGGCCAAGTGAAAAGAAGGAAAGGGTTAATTTTTTGTAATATTTATAGCTTTCATAAAATTTCTTTTTCAGTTTATCATAATTGTTCATTTTCCAGATATAATATGGGCAAAGTATGTATTTTAAGAAAAAAAATGTTGAGAACACCAGTAAAATCTAGTTGATCAATCAACAATCAATTAATAGAGTAGGATTAACTATAAGTATACCACAAACTCCGAATGATGTTTTTGTAATTTCTAAATTTCATGGGATGAATGCATCTATACCTCACCCAATGATGATTTATTAATTTACCTAAAAATTTATATTCAAGTGTAAATTTTAAATAAATTACACACAATTTACACTTCAAATAATTTGTTTAATAAACAAAATCAGATATTCATAAACTAAAGTTGAAACTTTGATTCATTATTTAGCCATAAAATAGTAACACAGTGTAAACATAATACATTGTAAATACCAATGCGACAACCATAATAGTAGAAATTTGACTAACCACAATAAATAAGTTTAGGCATGCATTAATTTGACATAAATTATACTTCAAGTGAAATTTTTATAGACCCTGAAAAGTAATAATTAATCATGGAACTTTTTTTCTTTTTTCTTTTTTCTTTTTTTTAATTGATAGTATGTGTTGTCATTATTAATTAGGAAATTCTGCAGATGACTGAAAACTAAAAAATTATCAAATGATTTAATAACATGTCATATTATTTTAATTTCGTTTACAAGATTCCAAGAAAAGGGATCTTTCGTGTTCCTTATTTGTGTTATATATTCTTTCATACTAAGTTTGGCGTCAAAAGGTATGTACGTTTTGATTAAGCATTTTAATCCATATAGTTCATAAATGATAGATTAAAACATAAAAATCCAGCGCGCACACTTTTTGCAACCAATGTCACACTTCCTAACGTTTTGCTAAATTATTATTTATTTAATTAATAAAGAAGTGAGGACTTAAAATCAAGACATAACAAAGAGTAAACATTTCATTACTTAGGTTCAGTTACTAATAAGCTAAGTGTGGACATTTCTAAGAAGGCAACGTATCCGTGTCGTGTCCATGTCGGACACCGACACTCTTTGGACACTTGAAGAGCACACGTGTCTATCACTTAAACACACAAACAATTAGATATAGGTGAAACTAATTATAAATTTTAACAAAAATAACTTAAGATACAATAATAAAACAAAAATCATATAAATTTATAAGAATTAGTGTCATATTGCATTTTTTATTGTCTTTGAATGATAAATTCATATATATAACATATAATAAATATATAAAATTACATATTTTATGTGTGTCCGTCACGTGTCGTGTACTGCATCTTTTAAAAATTGGCGTGTCGGCGTATCCATGCCGTGTCGCGTGTTCGTGTCTATGCTTCTTAGCTAATAAGGACAGAGAAGTAAGAGATGACGTGATTTATATAATCAAAATAGGCTGGGTCAAATGGAGGAATGCTTTTGGCATATTATGTGATTAATGAATACCAACAAAATTGAAAAAATGAAAAATAAAATTATAGAATAGTTGTAAGGCCAACAATGCTTTATAGGACAAAAATATTGGCACCTAAGAAACAAACATATTTATAAAATGTATAACTAAAATGAGGATGCTTAGATGGATGTGTAGTCAGATTAAGAAGACATAACTAGAAATGATATTCATGAAATGATCAAAGTAGCCCAATTGAAAATAAGTTGAGAGATAAGAAACTATGATGGTTTGATCATGTACAACAAAGATCTATAGACATAATAATAGTAAGGCAAAGTGATATACTTGCCATAAATGAAAATGTTAGGTAAGGGGAAGAGCTAAATTGACATGAGAAGCGCTAGTAAAAACAATATGAATTTTTTTAATTTAGTTGAGCATGTCATTGATAAAGCAGAATGGTGAAAAAGATTCATGTAGCTAACCCACCTGATTGGAAAACAAGATTTAAGTTTGGTTTAGTTTGGTAATGCGCTTCTCAATCAGATTTGGACAAGTGTCCTTAATTTTTGGTAACCAATTGCTAAATTATGATTCATAGCTAAAAATTACATATTGGACTTCTCATATATATTATTTTCTAAGTTTTCAAATTCAATATCAATAAAATTCCTATTTTGGATTTTCTATTTAAAGATTTTGAAATTTTCAAAACAGCTACAATTTTATAGCACGTACATTTTTTATATTTAAAGAGTAAAATATTTAAGAAATTTAGATTAAGACTTTGAAGCCCCTAAAACACCCATTTTAAAAAGTCACTTTGAAATACTCTCTCTCTCTCTCTCTCTATATATATATATATATATATTATATATAGAATATAGATACAGATATAGATTAAAAGATTTAGGGGAAATTACAACAAAAAAGGCAAACGAACTTGGGGTTTGGCACTGTAACAAAATAAATCCTGAATTTTTAATTTTGTGAATTTAAACCTTAATCTTTTTATTTGTTTTCAATTCAAACCATCAGCCAACTTTCGTTAAGTAAAATAGGAAAAGAGTACGACATTTTATGTACACCTACATTGAGTTTAATGACTAAATTTTTTTCTTTTTTTCCGTCAGTTTTACTTGATGAAAATAGGTGGATGATTTAGATTGAAAACAAATCAAAATATTAGGATTTAAATAGACAAAATTGAAAACTCATGCTTTATTTTGTTACAAGGGTCAAATCCTAAGATTTATTTATTTTATTTTTTTTGTAATTTCCCACAATAATTTATTATGTACTTTCTTAGTTTTGCCATAAATAAAAAAATAAATAAATAAGAGCATTCCAAAAGTGCCAATAACATTACAATTGTAAAGAATTGTCTTGACAGTTATATGGATAAATAATGCAAAAAGATCCTGTTTACCCACCTGCATTCCTTCCACCCCACTGATGCCAACACCAATATCTGCTTCTTGAATCATTCCCACGTCATTTGCACCATCACCAATTGCTAGAGTGGTTTTTCCAGTTCCTTCTTTTACTAATCTTGTTACCTAGTGCCAAAATGAAATTAAAATAAAATAAACAAAAACACATAAATAACTGAAAAGTGCCTACCAGGAAAGACGAAGTTCAGAAGACAGATAAATTAGTTGATAAGAGAGAAGAACAGTACTAGGGCTTTCTGCATAGGAGAAACACGACAGCATATGACGGATGCACAATCAACTGCTAAATTCAAGAATTGATGCTTCATATCATCCTTCAAAGCATAATCTAGAGTTTTCCCATCAATAATTAACGCAAATGCAGCATGAGGATCACTTTCAAGCTTGATCATTTGAGAGGCGTTGGTGATTTGCATCAAAATGTTCTCCTTCACAGCCTGATGAGTAACAATAGTAACAAATTTAACATGAAGTCGCACAAATTTCCAGAAAATTATTCACAGCTTTTTAAAAACATGTACCTCTTTGGAATCTTGTGCTAATGCATCTGTGTTCATTGTTGATATGCAGATCTGCTTCATGCCCTGTCGAAGAAGACTACAGGCAAATCTGAATCACAAAAACAATGGTTTCATTTCAGTTGTCAGAGCATCTTTAAATAAAAAGACCAGTCAAAATTTACTAGGGATTAATCAGAGCTCTCTCTCTCTCTCTTATTTTTTTGCTAATCTCTTTGATTGGTTGGATACATACCCTATGTTGATTGCGGTTTCCATCTTATCTCCTGTCAGAACCCAGAGCTTGAGACCAGCTTGTGCTAGTTTATCTATACACTGTGGCACCTACAGAGAAGACATGCAATAGTAAAATTGGAGAAGAACAATAGAATGCAATGTAAATTACGGTTCTATAGCGATGAAAACTTGTACCCCTTTCTGCAGTTTGTCTTCCACAGCAGTTGCACCAACAAGGATTAAATCCCTTTCCATCATATCACACAATCTTTCAAGCATTGCCTCCCTATCGCCGCCAATGGAACTCTTTGCTTTAAGAAACTCATTGTTCCAAGCAGAATACTCATCCTCTCCAAGTTTTCTGTAAGAAAGTGCTAATGTACGCAACCCAGCTTCCCCATACTCATTCAGGTGCTTTGTGGTAGCCTCCTCAAACATTTTTCCATTCTTTGCTAACCGTTCAAAGATGATGCTGCATAATCAAAGCAAAGGAATAAGTCATCGCATTAACAAATCAGCATAGCTTAAAGGCAGCCTAGATGAAAGTGGTGTACTTGAAGAGCAACAAAAATAAGCAAAACTTAAAAATTTATCAGCGTCTTAGTCTGACCATAAAAGTTCAAGGAATATACTAGAGATAAAAGATTACGCACTCCCAAATACTGAATTGGAATTTATCTGAAGATCCCACAAACGTAGATCAATTACATCAATTCACAGCTGGAAAAAAATAATAATAAAAGGGAAAGGATTTCAAGAGCCAAACCTGTCTGCACCTTTGCACAAGAGAAAAATCTGGCCATCCTCATCTCGGACTATAACAGACATTCTCTTCCTTTTGCTAGTGAACTCCATCAGATTGAGAATTTTGTACTCCCTGAAATTTTTCCAAAAGATAAATATGATGCTAAAATGCCAAAAGCCTAGGGCTGATTTACAAAACTCCAATAACAAAAGCAAATTATTCATTCATGATTTACCTTTCAGTTGGAACTTCAGAAGAAGGATGTCTTTCACGAACAAATAAGCTCGACTGAGTTCTTCTACAAAACTCAAAGCCAAATTCTCTAGCCGCAACTAGAAAAGCTCCTTCATCAGGAGACTCTGCTTCATAGGTAAAACCACTATTCTCCTCATTTGCTTCTGGAATTGCAGTGTGACAAATAGCAAGTATCCGGAAAAATAACAAAATGACATTTGCATTAGGCTCTTTCAACCAATTTCCATTCATGAGACGTCTGTCATCAAAGCTAAACCCCTTTATTGTAGATTGCTGATCCTTTTCGCCTTTACTAGTAACAACAGTCTCCATCTCAATTTCAGAAACACCTGCACCACTTTTATCGGTTGGATTGGAGTCCTGCCCACTGAGATCAATAGCCATCTGCTTTGCAGCGGCAAGTTCAACTTCACTGGAACGCATGCCGTATGCCATACCAGCAATGGAACACTTGATAAAGTCCATCTGATTGCATGTTAAAGTACCAGTTTTATCAGATAGAATTGTATCCACCTGGCCTAGTTCCTCATTTAAATTTGATGTCCGTGCTTGAGCAGGAGTTCCAGTCTCTTCATCATACATAAGGATGTCCTGATTAATAAACATTGCTTGAAGGACCTTCACAACCTCGATTGAAATATAGAGTGAGATGGGTATCAAATATCCGTAGAGGATAAGGGCAGTAACCAAATGAAATATGCCCGACAAGGCAGGTTTATTGGGATCGTATAATTTTGAATCTTCATATGGTTGCAAATACCACCAGTCCGGCATTTGGATCCCTGTCTTCACAGCAAAGCCTATTGAGCTGATCAATGAGATCAACACAAGGAGGCTGAAAAGAATGTAAATGATTTTGTCCATTTGTTTTTCAATCCTGCTCCTTTTTGAAGGTGATTTTGTTGCATTTTGCATGACTTTGCTATCATGACCAGTGAATATCACCACTCCATACACATAAGCCGTATTCCTAAGCTTTGAATCTCTGAGGAGAATCTGAGAAGGGTCAAGGGGATAAAGTTGACGATCATACTCAAGATTACCCACAAAAGTGTAAAGGCTTGGATTGGGGTCTTCACATCTAATCTTTCCCGTAAAATCCTTGAAACTCGCATCATCATCCAAGGGCAAGGTTACCTCCACAGCTCTCTTTACTTTCAAGTTTGTCTCTCCATCTAAGTTCATGGTCTCCACATAACAAATCCCATCCTCATTGCTGGATGACAAAAGAAGTAAATCTGCAGGGAAAAATTGATCCTTTTCCACTTTTAGTACATCTCCAACCCGAAGCTTCATCCATGGTTTAGGACCAAATACACCATCCCCTTTATGGACACTAACTTTTCGCATATTAACTTTCATATCCTGAATAAATCTACGCCAATCTTCCAACGCTTCCTTTGCCATACTAAGCCCAACCACAAAGGCCAGAGGAGCAATCATACTCACGGGTGAGAATGGAGAAACGGCCGTGAGGGACAGACTTGCAGCCAGGAGGAAATAAAAATTGGCAACACGACGAAATTGCTCAAAGATTGCCTTGGGAAGGAATGTGATGATATTGTACCTAGTGGTTGATGTATAATTAGAGCAATATTTAAGGGGTTTCTTTTCATGGTTATGCGGTTCATTGCAGTATACAATTCGTGAGAAACCGGGGCCTGTGAATTGATGCGGCTCCTCTGATTCCGCAGCAGATGGCCGGAGGCATGAAAATGTGTACAGATTGCTCCGGCTGAACTTTGCCCTAATCCTGCTGCCCCGTGCCATTTTTAGCAGATTTCAACTTGATATAATTGTATTACCAAATAAACATCTCTAGGGGGAAAAAAAATCCCCCCCAAATCTTCCCTATCACCACTATAGTTGAAGGAGTTTTTTGAACACCCTATACTCCTCCAAGACTGAATTCAACAGGCCCAGAGAAAAATTAAGTCACAACAATGTGTTTTGCCAGTTGCACGAAATCCTAACCTGAGAGTACATCAAACCCTTATATTAGACATTCTGAAATGTTATGACACCATGCTCCTAAAAAGAATTTGTGATTAAGACTGAGCAAATAAATCAACCAAATTTGCATTCAAAATCAAGAAAACTCATGGATTTACGAATTGCCAACAATGAGATTTTCAAGATTCAAACGTAACTACAGCAATAAAATTTGCAAGAATCCAAACAATCACCAACCCCAAATTCAAATTCGAAATTTTAACCACAGTTATAGGTTTTTAATATCTACAACTTTACTTTAAAAAACAAGATTAACCAAGACAACACAAAAAAACCAATTGTATAACTTGACATCATATTCAGATTTACAAGCTATAAAAAAATTTAAAATAAAAATTAATAATAATAATAATTCACGTTGAGAAGGAAATTTCTAAAAAATAAAACCATTCCCAGCTGAAACCTCGATAAAGAAATTCTAAAAAAAAAATTAAAATTCATATTACAAAGCAGTAAATTCGTCGTAACAACAAAATCAGCAAAAAAAGAAAAGAAAAGAAATCAAGAAAAAACATCGAGTAGAGAGAAAGAAAGAGATTACCTGGAAAGACAAGCATCATTATGATGATCATCCAAGGTTGAGGTTGAGGATGAGCAAATGAGACCAAAGTCGTCAAGTAAACTTGGAGATCAAAGCGATAGATAGAGCTTTCAAGTTTCAGAGATCGCAATGAGAAGAGAGATTGGACAGAGAGAGAAAATCTAGAGAGAAAAAGAAAGGGGTTTAGGAAATAATCAATGCCAAGATTTTAAGGCTATACATCTCTGTATTTATAAATTTCGCTGTGGCAAAATTCTTGTTCTCTATATATTTTTGTTTTTTTTAATTTATTTTAAAAAAAATCATAAAAGGAAACCAGTGAAGAAATAACCTCTCTCTATCTCTCGCAAAGAAAACGATGAAAACCAGAAAATTACAGAGGTATAGAGAGATGAGGAATAGTCTTTGTTTGACTAGAAGACTTGTATTTTTTTCACCAACTAGTTCTAGTTGTTGTGCTGTGCTCCAAAAAGAGTGGGTCCCATTATGTTGATGTGGCATGGCTGGACGACCAATAGGATGATTTCTTTTGCTCACAATGATGGACCGGCTTCCTTCCCTTATCAAACCCCCCTTCTAACCATGTTTTTACTTTCTAAAAAGGAAAAGAAAAATGGTGCTCATAATTAATTCTACTGTTTTTTTTTTTTTCCCTTTCACAAGTTGCCACTGTTTTTTTTTTTTCCTTCACAAGTTGCCTAAGGCGACGTTTGGAAAGTGGATTGATTTTTTGATTTTTTGATTTTTTTAGTTAGGTCAAGTTTGGGAACTTGTAAAAAAGTCAAAAAGTCAAAAAGTTACTCAAAAAGTTAAAAAGTTAACACTATTCACAAAAAGTCAACAATTACGGCTTAGCAGATTTCAACTTGATATAATTGTATTACCAAATAAACATCTCTAGGGGGAAAAAAAATCCCCCCCAAATCTTCCCTATCACCACTATAGTTGAAGGAGTTTTTTGAACACCCTATACTCCTCCAAGACTGAATTCAACAGGCCCAGAGAAAAATTAAGTCACAACAATGTGTTTTGCCAGTTGCACGAAATCCTAACCTGAGAGTACATCAAACCCTTATATTAGACATTCTGAAATGTTATGACACCATGCTCCTAAAAAGAATTTGTGATTAAGACTGAGCAAATAAATCAACCAAATTTGCATTCAAAATCAAGAAAACTCATGGATTTACGAATTGCCAACAATGAGATTTTCAAGATTCAAACGTAACTACAGCAATAAAATTTGCAAGAATCCAAACAATCACCAACCCCAAATTCAAATTCGAAATTTTAACCACAGTTATAGGTTTTTAATATCTACAACTTTACTTTAAAAAACAAGATTAACCAAGACAACACAAAAAAACCAATTGTATAACTTGACATCATATTCAGATTTACAAGCTATAAAAAAATTTAAAATAAAAATTAATAATAATAATAATTCACGTTGAGAAGGAAATTTCTAAAAAATAAAACCATTCCCAGCTGAAACCTCGATAAAGAAATTCTAAAAAAAAAAATTAAAATTCATATTACAAAGCAGTAAATTCGTCGTAACAACAAAATTAGCAAAAGAAGAAAAGAAAAGAAATCAAGAAAAAACATCGAGTAGAGAGAAAGAAAGAGATTACCTGGAAAGACAAGCATCATTATGATGATCATCCAAGGTTGAGGTTGAGGATGAGCAAATGAGACCAAAGTCGTCAAGTAAACTTGGAGATCAAAGCGATAGATAGAGCTTTCAAGTTTCAGAGATCGCAATGAGAAGAGAGATTGGACAGAGAGAAAATCTAGAGAGAAAGAGAAAGGGGTTTAGGAAAGAATCAATGCCAAGCTTTTAAGGCTATACATCTCTGTATTTATAAATTTCGCTGTGGCAAAATTCTTGTTCTCTATATATTTTTGTTTTTTTTAATTTATTTATAAAAAAAAAAAAAATCATAAAAGGAAACCAGTGAAGAAATAACGATGAAAACCAGAAAATTACAGAGGAATAGAGAGATGAGGAGGAATAGTCTTTGTTTGACTAGAAGACTCGTATTTTTTTCACCAACTAGTTCCAGTTGTTGTGCTGTGCTCCAAAAAGAGTGGGTCCCATTATGTTGATGTGGCATGGCCGTACAACCAATAGGATGATTTCTTTTGCTCACAATGATGGACCGGCTTCCTTCCTTATCAAACCCCCCTTCTAACCATGTTTTTGCTTTCTAAAAAGGAAAAGAAAAATGGTGCTCATAATTAATTCTACTGTTTTTTTTTTTTCCCTTTCACAAGTTGCCACTGTTTTTTTTTTTTCCTTCACAAGTTGCCTAAGGCGACGTTTGGAAAGTGGATTGATTTTTTGATTTTTTGATTTTTTTAGTTAGGTCAAGTTTGGGAACTTGTAAAAAAGTCAAAAAGTCAAAAAGTTACTCAAAAAGTTAAAAAGTTAACACTATTCACAAAAAGTCAACAATTACGGCTGCACAACTCCCAATCCTAATTTTTCCCTACAAATCAATTTTTACAATTTTTTATTATACATTTTTTCATAAAAAGTTAAAAAGTTAACCCAAACATCCATATTTTCAACCTTAATTTTTTAGTCCAAAAAGACAAAAAGTGCACTTATTTAGGGCACCCCAAACAACCATTTTAGTCTGGGTTAAAAAGTTTGATTTAGGAAGGTTTTTTTGACTTTTTTTGTGAGAAAAGAGTGCAATGATTATAGGTTGGATGTAATGTTTTTTGTTGTGACTAATAAAATAGCCTATTTTATCTTTTGTGGCTAAAATAGCCAAAAAAAACTTCCAACCCACCTTCCCAAACGGTGTCTAAATAGTTTGAAGCTCCATTTGGGAAGTAGGTTGGCTTTTTGACTTTTTTAACTATTTTAGCCTGGGCTAAAAAGCTTAGTTGGGGAATGACTTTTTAGTTTTTTTGACTTTTTTTTGTGAGAAACGAGTGTAATGACTATAGGTTTGATGTGATGTTTTACTTGTTCTGACTAAAATAATTTATTTTATCTTTTGTGACTAAAATAGTCAAAAAAGCTCTTGCCAAATAGATTCGGTTGGCAACATTAATTTCATTGTAAAAATTAAAAAGTTATTAAAAAATAAAAAAAAAACAATAATTTATATAAAAAAAAATCAAAGATTTAAGTTGCGATGGATGGAGTTTTCTAAAGGGGTGTTTGGGAAAGTTTTTTTTTTAGTTTTTTGGACTAAAATTCACGAAATGAAAAAATAAGTTAAAATAGTTAAAAAGACAAAATATCACATCAAATTCATAATCATTTCATTTTTTTCTCTCACAAATATTACATTCAATTATAAAAAAATCCAGCTATCTTTCCAAATATAAAAATTTTTACCGACTAAAATAGTCTACTAAAATAATAATTTCCCAAACACCCGCTAAATATGATTTGGAGAATAGAGTTGTATTTTGAGTTTGTAAGTTTTGAAATTATGATTTAAGTGTGAAAAATTTGTTTGGTGAATGCGTTTTGAAAAGAGTTTTGAATTGAGTGGGAAATTTTTAATGTAACATATAATATTTAATACAAGATACTTACAATTCATAACCAAAAACACAATTCAAAATTCTATTTAAAGCTCACAAAAAAATTTTAAAAATTTCGAAATTTTTTTTATTTAAAATATAGAAAATAATATATGGCATTTGTAAAAAAAAAAAATGCACTGTTCCGGTCAACCGGCCGGATGTCCGGGAGGATGACCGGTTAGCTTAAATTTTCTCACCTTGGAGTAAGTTTTCAAAAGTGAGTGTTGAATTAATTTTTGAAAATTGTAAATAAACACCACGCTCAAATATAATTGTAGAATTAAGTTTAGAGAGTTCTACCAAATAGAGCCTTATTTTTATTTTTATTTTTGGTAGAAAATCAAAAAATATGTAAATTTTTGTATATCTTTTTGTAAAAAATCAAAAAATCAAATGCATATCTTTTTGTAAAAAATAAAAAAATTATCATAAATATGTAAATTTTTTTACCTCATATTTTAATCAAAAAGTCAAAAAAATAACATGTTTCCAAACGAGTTATATAAACATAATTTTTTTATAATTTGTTTCATAGAATGAGTTTTCATATTCTTATTTATTCATTAAAAATTAAAAAATTTACGATTTATTACACTTTATATCCTTAAATTATCATCAAATTATCTATTTAGTCCATCAACTATCGACTAAGCATACTAAATTTCTAAAATATATAAATCAAAATCTATTTAGTACATAAAGTATTGATTGAATATATTAAATCCTTAACCTATTTAATTCAAACATATTTAGTCTTTGAAAATATTATAAAAGGATTTATTACATTATCAACGCCTAAATTATTGTCAAATTGTCTATTTTATTCCTAAACTATCGATCGAATCGATTCAGCTCCTAAAATATAAATCAAAATCTATTTGGTACATAAAGTATTGATTGAATATATTAATGGGGATTTTGTTTAGGGTTCTTGGTATTAAGATTTTATAGTATAAAAGACATCTAATATTTTCATAATGTCTAAGGTCCCTCAACATTGATCCAAAGAAATTTCAATCCTAGAGAAATTTTCTCCAAAGAAATTTTGGACTTCCAAAGAATTTCTCCAGGTTCAAACTAGAGAAAATTGAAATTTATTTGACTTTGTTCACAAATTTTTCTGGCTTTGTTCATAAATTTCTCTTTGTTTGTTCATAATTTTAAATAAGAGAAAATTGTTTTAACCAAACCAAAGAAATTTTAGCACAATAATTTTAAACCAGAGAAATTATTTTAACCAAATCAAAGAAATTTTAATCAAACCAGTGTTTGTTCACAATTTTTAACCAGAGAAAATTGAGTGTAATGACAAAACTCGTAAGAACAAATTGAATGAACATATATACACATATAGTATTCTCACTCTAAAATGACAGTATACAAACATAGTGTTGTGAACAACAAGCTCTCGAAGCCAATCTTGATATTTGTCCTCCGATTATGGGTAGTGATAGAAATCTTCAATTGAGTGTAATGTCAAACATAAAACTGCACTTAGAGTCCAAATTTAATAAAAAATTACTAATAAAGTGATCCAAACAAATCCCACATCGTAAAATAAATTAATGTACTTGCATTACTTCAAAGACTTGAGAGTGAGAAGCAAATTCATTCAAAACAATAGCATAAGTATAGTCATCAGCAATAACTCCAATACCCATCTGCCGAAACAACTCTACACCCACATCACCCATTCCACACTTGGAATAACAAAAAATTAAAGCATTTCATGTAACTAAATCTCTTATTGACATTTCATCAAACACTTTCTTTGCTGAATCCATGTCCCCAGCTCCCGAATACATCCTAAGAAGATTGGTCCCAAGAAATTCATCCGATAAAGAGAAAACCTTAACGACCTCTACATGAACTTGTTTCCCCAATTCAAAATCATCATTTGTATCACCCACGATAATGTCTCGGTCCACATAGCAAAACTCGGTCTCTTGAAACCCATCAAGAATTCCAATTAACATAACATCAAGGTTCTTGAGAGCAAGAAGATTAATGCAATAATCAAAACTAGTTTATGGGACCATGGCTTCATATGCGCCACCACCAGGGAATTGTTGTATCGAAGATATGAGCTCCACAATCGAATCCCTAGAGAGGGAGGAAGAGAGAGAGGAGATAATAGAGAGGAGAGTAAAGAGAGAATGAGAGTATAGGTGTGATATAAGGGTATGGGGGCGAGGGACCTTAGACTACAAAGGAAAATATTGTGAACCTATTCCATTACTAAAAATTGGAGAGGGATGGTAGACTAATTTTCCCTATATTAAATCCTTAAACTATTTAATTCAAACCTATTTAGTCATTGAAAATATTAGAAAAATGATTTATTATGTTTTCAACACCTAAACTATTGTCAAATTGTCTATTTTATTCCTAAACTATTGAATGAGTCTATTAAGTTCCTAAAATATAAATCAAAGTATATTTAATTCCTAAATTATCGATTGAATCAATTAACTCTCTAAAATATTTAATTCAAACCTATTTAGTCCTAGAAATGATTATAAAAATAAAATATAAGCCCATAAGTATTATAAATTAGTAAAAGACCTTACCTAATTAAGATTTTATTATAGAAAATCCTAAATTTTTATTTTATTTAAAAATATATTTTATTTCGTTATGTTTAAATTAGTGAGTATTAAATATATTGAAAAATTATAATTAGATCATTTAAATAATAACACTTCGTTACAAATAATAATAGAATAAAATAATAAATTAATTAGGTTATAAAAAGCACTTAGTGAAAAACATAAAAACAATCAATTAAAAATTATAAACGAGATTTGGTATATTATAAAGGCAAGTATGTAGCCATCGTAGAAAATAAGTATAAAAAAAAATTACTATAGATAATTACAGTTAGCCTTATAAAGGAAATTCACCATAAAAAAATATAAATAAATAAATAAAAATTGATACTCACTTTTCAAAGACAGAATAATTTTTTTTTTTAAAGATAAAATTTTAAATAGATAGATTTATATTATAGGGATTTAATACATTCAATCGATAATATAATACTTACGCATTTATATTTTATTTGGAAAATACTTATTAACATATATTTTATTTTATTTTATAATTCTTTCAAGAGTTAAAAATCTTTGAATTAAGATATTTTAGAGACTTAATAGATCTAATCGATAGTTTGGAATTAAATAGACTTTGATTTATATAATTTGGGATTGAATAGGCCTAGTCTTCATTTGAGAAGAGCTAATTTAGTGTGACTCTTTGGTTGATTTAGCGTGGCTAAATTAGCTTTATTTAGGAAAAACTTTTGGCTTTTTTTGGTTTGAATGTGATGATTTTGAAAAAAAAAAAAGTGAAATGATTATGCTTTAGGTGTGATATTTTATCTCTTATTTTGTTTTTTTTTTTATGCTTATTTAGTCAATTTAGCTCT